CACACATGCTCCACAGGCAGGCTGATGGCCTAGGCTGGGCCTAGGAGAAAGTGGCTGTGGGTCCCTACCTGACCTTTGGTATTCATATTTTATATTTACTTGTAATATCTGCTTGATTTCCCATGGTTTCTATGTATTTCTGTACAAATTCATCCTAGTTTTTTAGTCTTCCTACTCCAGCTGTCTTATGTTTCTTTCTGCTTTAGCTTCAACTCATTTCCTCTGAGTAGCTCTTCTGGTTTACTTGTAATATTTGTCACCCTGTCTCAGTGTTTCATGGTTCAATGCTGGATTCGTTTGTTTCTCTGCTTACAAGACCACTGAAGTCCTTAAATTCACCTGTTTGTCTTTAGAAAAGATGAGAGAAAAAGGTAAATACTGGAATAATTAAAATGCTGTAGATATTGACATGATGTTTCTAGTTCATTTTATTTTTAGCTAACTTGTGCAGCAATACAGTATGTGGCAGTACTTTTCATGGCAGTGTAACGCACAATGAAACATGATTTTTCCATCACTGAGGTATGGTTGCTTGCATGTCACGAGCAGCCTCTCTTGCTCTGGAAAACGGTCTGTTTATATTTGGTTCCATGCACTTCAATGAGACTGTTTTGAAAATGTTTTCTCATTTTCTGTTTTTAATGGAGAAAGGCATTCTGTTTTATAAGATATAAATTATACAACAAAAAGTTTGGTATATTAAGGAAAAGCTACAGAGCAATCCCCTGAGGAGGTAAACAGCTGTGACTGTGAGGACGTCCAGAACGGCGAGGCTGACCTAAAGGAAACCATTATACCAGCGCTTCTTCTGCTAATGTTTGACCCTTGAATTAGTGGGTGGATAATTTGAAAATTAGTGATTAGTGTGGTTGTTTTTGACTGCTTTAAAGTAATGGGGAATATGATTATATAGATTTATTAAATGTATTTTTAAAGAATTGTATTTTAGTTTTACTTGCCGCAACCAGTCCAGCATATAAAGAAAGACACCAGTCCTACAATAAAGAAATAAATAAAAATCAATTTAAAAGAACATGTTTGTTAAATACTAAGATGGCAAAATAACTTCTTGGATTAAAAATCCCATTTGCATAAAGAAACACACAACTTTAAAGATATTCTCCAGACTAGAAAGCATAATTTTTGCTTAAAACTTTTTGCGTAAAATAATCTACTCCCAGTTAAGTCCAGTTAAGTTATTGTTGTGTTATATAGTCAAGTTCACTCCACTATATATCACGATGTAAAGACAGCAGTCAGCATACTAAGAAAATATTTATACATTTCCAAAGGAAGCATGTCCCTAGAAAGGTGTACATTGTTTTTCACTGTAAGCAGTTTAACGGCTGCAGTTTCGATACATGTATCCATGCTTATTTTAAGACTCACTTTAGATCTTTGACATCATTTTAGTAAAGTTTTTTTCCCAAAACAAAAATAAAATGTACTGATGATTGGCATCAGGCCTAAACAGTACCTTCTCAGGCAAAGTTCATAGCATGCTCTTCCCACATCTCTGTTGCATATTTTGCAACTTTAACTGAGCATGCAAGCAGACAATATAATTAAGGGAAAAAATGCTTTACCCCTTAGGGCATTTTTAAGGTAGCAAAGACAGCTTGTTGGATAATACATTAACTGATGGGGTTAGCAATCAAAACCAACATAAAAAAAATCCTCCTGGTTTAATAATGGACTTTTGTTCCCACGTTCAAGACTTTGAAACAAGATTTGCAGCCTTCATTTGTCCTTTCTGCCTGAACCAGTGAGACATTGGAAGATTAGTACTCTTAGGTGTTATATCATCTATGTCAGTTTAGTTAAATAAGCTATAGAGATTTGCTTTGGAATCCCAACTAATCCCCTGTTATCCATGTTTTATGGTGGAAGCTCAATGAGAAAGCTGATTGAATTCACTGCAATATATCTGTTGAAAGTACAAATACCTGAAATCCCTTTGAGTATATGACATATAGAATAATACAAGCTTTATATGTCTGAACAACTACTGCATATGCTGAGATATTTCAATTGTTTAGAGAACCCTAAACCGCAGGAGAGGGCAAGGTTAAGAAGATCAGACACCAGAAGGGTATGAGACTTCTATGAATGAATGAATTTAACTTTGCACTGTCACAAATACAAACCAACGACATGAATTCTCTGCATTTAACTCTCCCCCTTGGGGGGGCTGTGGGCTGCCATTGTGTGCCGTTAAGGATCTTTGCTCATGGAGCCAGAATGGCAGTCTATGGGAGTGGGGTTCAAACCCAGAGCCTCTGGAACCCAAGTGCAATGTACTAACCACTAGTCCACCACTCCCATAAAGTTTCCCTAAATTTCTATACAGTCTAATGGAAGAGTATTCACAGCACAGTGATATCTATGCAACATTTGTAAGACTGTTGCCAAATGTATTATAAATGGAAAACTAAGAATCACATTTATGTTTCTATTCATGGTTTAAAGTACATGCCAGAGCTCAAACAACAAAGCATGAAGTCAAAGTAATTGTTTTAGACCTCTGAGAAAGGACTGTCTTGGAGAGGAAACAGAAAAGCCTTTTGAATGTGGTGAAGGTCCAAATGAGCACAGAGGGCCTCCATCATTTATAAATGGAAAAAGTTTAGAACCACCAGGACTGGGTTTTCCTTGTGGTTATACCTCCTGTCTAAACATAGAGATTGGGGAAGGAGGTGACCTCAGCATTTACCAAAAGGTGCAAAATGACTCTCAGACCATGAGAAACAAAATTATCTGGTCTAAGACAAAGATTAAACTATTTGGTGTGAATGCCAGCATTTGTGTTTGGAGGAAACAAGACATATACAAGACATATACGGTACTATCACTACAGTGACGCATGGTGGTGGCAAGCATTATATTATCTGGATGCTTTTAAGCAGCAGGAACTGATGGACTAGTCAGGATAGAGGAAAGATAAAGGCATCAATGTGCAGAGAGCTGGAGGTAAAACCTGCTCCAGAGAGCTCCTATCTCAGATTGGGGAAACAACCCAAAGCTCACACCAAGATTTGAATAGAGTAGATTCAGAGGCACTCTATGAATACCCTGGAGGGGCCAGAGTCCAACCTTAAGTCTGACTGATCATCTCTAAAGGGCTGTGAACAGACTTCTCACATCAAGTCTAAATCTGAGGAAGATTGAGATGTACTGCAAAGAAGAATATAAGAGAGGTATCCTATAGAGCAAAGGTCCCGGATTAGTGGACTGCGGTCCGGATAGGGTTAGAAACATTGTATAAGTCAATAGTATATAAAATAAATTATTTTGGGCTACATATTGTCCCCATAGCCAGAGACAATGTCCATGTATGAAGAACATGTTTATGAAATGTTTCCTATTTTGTAAATCCCCTAAACACTGTATTATAAATCCAATTATACGAAAATGTTCGAATTTTTTTCTTAAACATTATGATTAATTGTAATTGTATGATTAATTGTCAAACGTTTTTTAAGTCTATCAAAGTCAATGTTGCAATAAATTATGCTTTAAAGACATCACTGTATCGGTGGTTAAATGGTGCTTGTTGCCAGATTTGAACATTGGCTATTGCTTGGAACTGTACCTGTAATGAATGATAGATTAAAACTATGCTCTAATGCTTTTGAGTTTACAATAATAAATAATAAATATCTAAATCATTGCAATCATTTTTGTTGTTTAATATTCTGACATTTCGATTTCATCCACTAGTTGTAAAAATATGGAGTGAGAATCAGTTTCTTATAGCTGGTCCCAGCTTAGATTCTCCCTTTCTCTGGTCAGGGACTTTTTAAGGAAGAAGAATAATTTAATACCACTTGGAATAAGACTGTAACAGCATTAGATGCTGTTTAAAAAGTGGTGTGCTGTGAATATTTTTTTAGATGTACTGTAAAGTCTCAGAAAGACCTGGAAACTGCACATACAGTTTTCACAGCAAGATAAGTAATCCACTCAACCTGGATAGACTTCAGAAATGTTCTGTTCTTCGCTGTTAAATTTAAAGCATATTAAGGCTTTTTTTTTTTTTTTTTTTTTTTTTTTTTTTTTTTTTTTTTTTACGGTGTCTTGCAGCACATTGGAAAAACCCAGTAAATTACTTGGACAACCTGGTCTGAACACTGAAATTATAACTAGACCAACCCTTAAAACACCGTGCTACAGGCGATCAGACGGATACATTATAGGTTTTAGTTGTTTTTCAGCATCTGGTAGACGCAGATCTAAAACTAACTGGAGGAGAGCTGGGGGTAAAGTCTGGACAGGTCCCTAAACTGATAATAATATGAAAAGTGAAGCCAAAGAGGGATTTTTTTCTGCATGACAGCAAACCTGAACCCACAGCAGGGTCAATGTCACATCAAATTTAAGCTACCGTAAGATGATGGAGCTGTTGAAGCCACATGACTGATAACAAATTAAATTAACAATCTACACAAAGAACTGAAAACCTGAACTGAAATCAAAACTTTCAAGATTTATAAAGCATTTTGTTCCAAGAATGGTTGAAAATCCACATTGCTCCATATTGCACCATGAAGGGGAAGATGCAGTCAGGGACACTTGATGCAAGGTTGAATTTAAAAGTAAAACTAAATAAATAAACTAACCGTAAACCCGAAGGATACAGCACCAGGGAGGTTCTGTATCCACTTCATCAAACTGCCATCATTTAAATCTTTGGCACCAATGTCACAATTCATTCATCACATAAAAATGGTGTATAGAAAATTACAACTCCCAGCCTTTCATTTATCAAAGTAAACATGTTCATACAAGACAGTGAGAGCTTAGTGCTTGAAACGATGATGTTGATTTGAGCCAAAATGCCAAGTAAATTACTGGCTAGATCTCATTAATTACTCTTGTGTACAGTAGTTATCATTCCATTCTCTTTCATGCACAAGGTGTGACTATAATACAAACCTGCAGGTATGATGAGAAAAAACAACAGAGGACTTTAGGCAGAGATGCACCAAATTTTTCTTCTTCATATACATTTCTGCTAAACAGGAGAAACTGACTGAAGCAAACGTGAGGCAGTGACTGTTTACTTCATGATCCGTTGTTTATTTTACAGTTTTCTTTGACTTGATTGTGTACATTATGTGCATGTATGTACAGTTCCTTTGAAAGTGACAGTAAAGAAGAAATTAGCTGTTTGTATTATACTATCTTTGTCTAGGGGTTTGAAATATGTTTGAATTTGTAAAACAGGGTTGAAGAGCACAGAAAAAACGATTAGGACAGGACAAACTGACTGGGTTCAGAGTTCACAGATTGAGGCCTTATATCTGTTCTAGCTGCAGGTCTTTAGGAGCAAGTAGGGGAGCTTGCCATCTGTAGGATCAGTAATCGCTCTGTCCTCTGCTGGCCACGTGGAGGAGACGAAGCAGCAGATCTGTTGGGGAGTTCCTTGAAGAGCTCTGGGATGGATCCGTGGCATCGGTCTCCCCAAGGCAATCAGAGTCCACCATGCAGCCCTCTGAGATACAACAAGAATTGGTTTCAATCATCATGTAGACGATAAACACACTTCAAAATGCAGATTTCATAGACTGTACCAGAGTTACAGCAGAGTCCTGAGGAGGCACAACGCCCCCCCTCAGGTCCACAGGGCCTCCCTCCTGCCTGGCAGGGGGTGAGCAGGTAGTTCTCCTCCTCACAGTGAGCTGATGCTGCTGAGCCAAGGAGGCAGCCCAGACCCTCTCCACAGCAGATGCTGGGGCCAAAGCAGCGGCCCCTGTCTCCGGGGCCACAGGACATGCACTAGAGAAAGGCAGAGAGTTAAATGCCAGATTATTCTAGCATTCAGAATCAGTTTGCTCTTTAATTTCGCAGTAACATTAAATAAAAGCTTATTCAAAGGTGTATCATTTTCCTGTAATGTCAATATGTCGCATGTTACGGTCTGCAAACAATGAATTTTCCTTGATTTTTGAAACATAATTAAAAATATAAAGCAATCTACTTTGTGCAGATGTAGAAGATAATAAATTTCATATCTATTATTTTACAGTTCAACATAATAACAGCTCTTAGTTTTATAAAATAATATAAAACTCAATTTTTTTCATTTGTTCAGGTTAAAAAACTGTAAAATATTCATGTCACATTAAAGTATGTAACTGAAAATCAAATTTCTCATACTATTGTAGAAATGTACATTTTAGTCAGAGTAACACTGTAGTGTTAATATAAATTATTACAGGTCTCTTCTGATGTCTAAAACATATTTACATTTGAAATCTAGATTTATTGTTTTTTTTTTTTTAAAGTAGTGCTTTAATGTTGCTATTTTTTAAAGCACATTTTAGGTCTTTAACATTCTTTTCTTTTCCTCTTTTCCACATTGTAAATTACCTTTATATGAATGGTTTTATTCAAGTAAGGATATAAAGATTTTACTTTACAGTATATGTGTTTAAATATATATTTCTTATTAATAAATGATTAAATCTGTAGGATAGAATAATGTATTAAAAAATAATAAAATACATTGAATTTGTTTTTTGAAAAAAGCTGATTTTCTACCCCTTTCTTCATGTTTTCTAAAGGTTTTAAATTGTGTTAATTTAAGGTGGATATTTAATTATTTCTTCTCTCAATTCGTCTCACACCTTTTTAGCTTTATTTATCTTAGGATAAAATCCCCACTTCCTTAAGGCATATGAATGTAGGACATTATACTCTGCATAATAAAAGCTATCTATGATATTCAAGTATTATCAAGATTTCATATTTTAAACTCCCTCTAGGTAGTTACTGAAGCAAAAAAAGAAGAAAAAAAAGAAAGAAAACAAAAATCAATCCTTAAAGTTGTTCCATATATGCTTATATAGGCTGTTCCTTATATTAGTTTCCCTCTATACTGAAAATATATTCTAAAAATATAACTGGACACAAAAACTGGTTTATAAATGGTTTTAAATCTTCATAAAAAAAAAAAAAAATAGATTTCCTGATTTTAGGAATAAATTGACTCACAATTCATATACATTTTTATATATAAAAGTCTATTTATCTCACAGTCTCTTTATTATATAACCTATGCATCAGAAAGATAATAGAAAACAATAAAACAAATAATAAAAATCGGAATCCTGCATGCATCCTAATAAGGTTAATAGGTTTAACTCTTTCTAAAAGTGAAAATAAGAGAAAGAAACGTGGGCCTAAATTACATTCATAATTATTTATTCTCTTACAGTTTACCTAAAAAGCCTATAACCAAAAAAATGACCAAACCAAACTTCATTAAAAAAAAATATTCTTTTATTTTTAAGCGTTATCAAACATTTTTTAATATATATATATAAAAAATATATAAATATATGAAATAAAAAAATATAATATAAAAAAAAAATCCCATCGGTGCCCACCTGTCTGATGCCTCCCTCCGGCAGCGCGCGCTTCCCTCCTCGCGGGCAGTTCTGGATGTAGCAGGCGGAGGAGAGGGCGAGGAGTCCCAGGACGCACAGGGGGAGCAGGCAGTGATGCATGGCTGCTGGTTCTGATCGAGCACCTGTTATTTCCTCCGTTGGTCTGGATGTCTGTCTGACGTCCCCCACTCCGGTCATTGCTCACTTATAAACACCTGGACAATGAGACCTACACCTGACGTCACTGACTCTACACCCCCAGGCTTCGTGCGCGAGCCTGTGCACGAGGGGTCGCAACAGATGTGCGTCTGCATTGGATGTGGACATCAACCAAATCTACGCAAGAAAACAGCATCTGTATTCAGCCCTGCGCCGCATTTTGCTTCTAATAAGCTTTTCAGAATCATTCCAGCCCTGGGTGACACAATAAATCTGAGGAGACAAAACAATTAATTGGAGTTTAAAAACAACTAATGGGATTTATACAAATGTAGTCAGATGAAGAACAACTTATGATGATCATGCACAGCTTAGTTGTTCACTGCAGCCTTTTTTTCTCCTTGCAGCCAAGAGAGACCATGGGAACCTCAGGGTCACACAAATTAAGAGGCTGACTAACTTGTTGATGAGCGTAAAAAAATTAGCATTTCCAACAAACATATTTCAGTTGATTGTTCTGTTTTCCTGCATGCTTTGGGTTGTTTCTCTCTTATTAGTTGTTGTGAGGCTGATTAACTAAACGACAGAAGGTAAAACTGAGCATCAACAGGTTAATGAGCAAAACGGGCCTATAATAGGCTCCAGGATTTTACTCTTAAATAGCATTTTGAAACAACTTTTCCAAATTAAAGTATATTAAAGCAACCAGGAGAGATACAATTCCATTTATTTTTCACCAAATTTACAAAAACATAAGGATCTTTACTTCTTTTCCTACCTTTTGGGGGGGGGGAAAGTAGCGATTGCAAGATCTACAGCTCAAATTTAAGCTCATGAAATCAAGATCTATAAAGCTATTTATCCAGGGTGGTAGAGCAAACTAGAAACTGTCACCTGAGCATAGTAGCTATGAAATGTAACAAACTAGCACCCTGTTATTTGATGATGGCCCCAGCTTCACCGCTTCTGTATTAGGACGGTAGACAATATCAGGTTCATTAAATATCTAGTACTGAACATGGGCTATAAAAGCATTCTCCCTGTGATAACCCAAAGAAAAACAATTGGCTTGAATTGTAATTTAAAATACTGTATTTGACAGCATTCACATTAACATTGTAATTACCGCCACTGTTCTAACAGGGATCATTATGCTGGTGTGCAGTGGTATAGATCACTAGTGTTGTTACTCCATGCAGTATCATCACATACTACATATTACATGCTTACATATTAGTAAGCTTTACAGTGAATATGCAAGTCTCTGTTTTCTCCATTTCCATCAATCTTCGGACTTTGTTTAACTCTGAATATGACTGCAGTTTCCCTTTATAATATACTATTTGGCTTTTAAAACCAAACTATTGCTGCACATGCTGCAGTGTCATTAACTTAGTAGTTATTTATCACTTCTAAGTTAAACTATCATAGTATTTTTTCACCACAGAATTTCTAACTATAAATAAAGGAACTATATAATGGAAATAATCTACACCGGTTTGGTGTGTGTTTTGTGGGACATTTGAATGTAGACAACTATTGCCAGCAATATATCACTATAGATATGATTATTATCATAATCACAGTTTTGTCATGATTGTTTTAAGAGACCTGACCCACATGCAGACAACCACTCAGAGAACCAGCGGAAAAGTTAAACAGGTTTATTGAGGTAATGAGTACAGGAGTTGGATCTGGAACTCAGTGAACTGGTGAACCAGAACTGGAAAGTCTGAAAAGGAGATCGCAGTGATCAGTTCAGGGACCGTAGTAAAATTGACTGAGGCTTGAATACTGCTGGAGCGGGATTCATGTTTGAGGGGGTTCTTGTTAATCCTTGAATCCAGTCAGTGTGGGTTTATCTAGAGAACAGGGAACTCGTTGGAGAGTGGACAGCTAGACCTTCATTGTACCCGGAGGACCAATGGAGCGGGCTGTCACTTGGATTTCCGAAAGGGACTTGAACGGCACCTGTGGATGTTTTCTCCTGCTCAGTGTGAACTCACATAATCCTTCCAGGGGGAGAAAACCAGGCAACCAGTTACACAGGAAGGCTTCCTACCGAAAGGCAAAGACAAAAACAATATTAGACTCAGAGAAACAAAGGCTCAGGTTGGACTGAGCTAATCTCAGCTTGGCTAGAGTACCCAAAACTGGCAAACACTCTGGCGTCGAGGTAGTGACAGTCCACTGCTCAAATACTCCTCAGTAATGATCCAACAAACCGCAGGTGTGCAGGAGGGCCAATGGGGACTGGGCACCACCTGGTGGTGGAGGGAAAAACACACAAACAACCCACACAAACTGGATTCCTAACAAGTTTATAGTGAAAGAACGATAAAACTAGATGGGTTAGAACTTGATATTTATGAACATTAATGGCAATGTGAATGGCTATGAATAAGGTATATCACACACACAAAAAAAAAATAATCACAGATCACATTTTGCCTTTGAGTCAAAAATATTGTCTATGCTTCCCTTTCAGGGATACCATCAGTGAGTTTATAAATCTCCCCATCACTGCCTCACGGAGAGCATTCAGTGCATTCCTAACAACCGCAACTCTCACTCGTTTTTCATTAACATGGAAGGTAGATAGGTGATCTAAGCTATTCACTTAGCAGATTATGGATTCAATATGATGTTTAGGCATCAGCAGACATTTTGTACAAACGTTTCAAAAGTATAAAAATCCTTTTAAACTTAACTGGAAAAATTATGCAGATAGAACTTTAGAACTGTTGACTTCCTGCTCAACCTATTAGCTCTCATAGTTCAACCACATTTATATATTTTATACATGGTTTTCACACTAAAAGTGTTTAACTTTATCTGCATTGTCAATAAATGGCAAATTATTGTTGAAAAGCACATCTTTAATAAAAACAGTCTGAAAGTTAGACACAGCAAGTTATTAGTCATCATCCATTAATGGAACTCACTCCTTTTTTAAGAAGTTTGCTTTGAAAAACAATGAAACGGTCAATATTTCTATTGCATTGCATCTTTTAAGACTTTTAGTTTAGACATAAAGAAAACCTGCATGGTTTATCTAAATCCTTCCTTGATCACATAAAGAAACACTAATTAAAACTGTAACGTAAGAGTTTCACTGATAAATAAAATTGGGGTTAAATACAAAGTTGAACAGAAGAGAAACATCACAGCAGGTTTCATTTAGCCTTTTTATTTATGGGTACTTTCTGTGCCTCCAGCTGAATCAGTGAGGCTGATGCCTTTATTGCGGATGCAGAACTACTGATTCCAGTTAAACTGAGCGGATACAGGATCACGACCTTGGTTATGCTTAATGTTGTCAGGGAAACCAACACAGATATGATGCTGTTTATGACTGTGAAGACAAATAAATGTTCAAGCTACAACTTCACATTAACACTTTTGTACACCGCAGCTCCATTACTTTTTTCTTTTTTGTCAATAACATGTCAAACTATTTTAGAAAGGTGCAGACATTTTCAGGTGGGAAGAATTAGAGAACATTAAACTGCTTAAAAAAAAAAAAACTTATTGTGGGTTTTCTCTGATCCAACCAGTGTCACAAATAAACACATTTGGAAATGTGGTTTGGGTCGATAATTTCTTTATCAAAACAATGCCCCTACCTATACATAATTCAACATTTGTGTGAAACATGCATTTTTTAATTCACTATTGCTTTTATCCATTGATTCTAAGTGTTCAGTAGAGCTGAGGTCAGTAATGAGTGGAGGCCATTCCACCATTTCCGCATCCAAATGAAATTTTTCGTCTTTCGTGGGTTCACAGAGCTCTTTATAATATATATCCTAGTTAAACCAACATATAGGTTCCTAAGAGTTTTTTTACATAAAATGTTCTGCCTTCATTTAAAAAGCAAACTGAGACAGGGGCCAGACATGAGGACAAGGTGAGTAAAACATAAAACGATTAGCTGATCGTGACCCTTTCAGCTTTATCCACAAAGACCACCCAGCCTTGGATCAGCTCTATTCCCTCTTAAAATTTTTCTCACCATCAACCTCAAGTGTTGCTGCCCCTCATTCTTTTTCCATCCTCCGTGCAGCCACGCCTCCACCCATCTGTACAAAGATGACGGCACCAAGGCTGCGACTTCACCGCCATTACAGAGTCCAACAGAAAGGTAGAGGGGGTGGAAGAGGACAAGAATTTATGCATATGTTTATTTTTATACGATCTCAATGAAAAGATCCGTGCTGTTCTTTCCTTCAGTGGAGGACACAGAGGGTGATGTCATCAGAGTTTTGACAGACTTTTAAAGCTTGAAAATAAGATACACTGCTGCTAAATAAGCCGCAGACATGAATTCACAGCAACAAGTATATTTCTTCAAGTATTAATCAGGGGGAAAAAAAACAGTTGTTGCACAATAAATCTTTCATCAGTGATGGACACGTGTAATGTTACAGCGTGGGGTAGGACTTTGACAAGATGGACATAAAATATGACTGGAGATATTGGCAGAGTTTAATGGCTTAGTCTCTTTCTGCACACAGGCGCGGCACAGCAAGTGGCCACATATCAGCCGGTAGATAGAAGACGCTGATGGAGAGTAAATGGAGACGGAGCTGGAACACTGAGAGCACACCTTTCCATCTGTTTAGAAAACACAGGGGAGGGAAAAACAAAGGTTGAATAAAATAAATAACCTTTTACATTTTAAACAACACAATATTACACTTCTTAAGTCATGAAAACATGATGTTAAAATTGTGAACATTGGCATAATTTCTTGTTTTATGAACTGATAACATACACTACAAGTCAGAGGTTTAAATACACTTATTAAGGGCATGGATGTCATAATACTTTTGTCATTTAATGATGATTGTAATTTTTTTTTCAGGTTGCAATTGTAATGCCGTATATATAACGAATTATTTAGAATAAACAAGAACTGATTCCACAAGTTAGATTTTTGTCTAATCTAAAAACATTTAAAAAAAGAGTCAACTTCAGACAAACGTCACCATGTTGGTTAAGGAGATAATAGATTTTCTTTTAACCATTTTTCAGATTCTGCCCAACCTTCCAACCCGAGTTCACTGATAATGCAAAGACTATTTATGGGGCTCATGTTGGCTCCAATTAAATAATAAATAAACAATTTAAACAAGATCTACCATTACAAGACAGATTATTGCTTAAATCCTGCCTTCCAATCGTGCCCAGATTAGGTTTCTATACATTTCCTTGTGGACATGTATATACATATTTGAGACTTCTATATTATTCAAACTAATCCACAATATATTCAAATATTTTTCAAAATAAATATTTTGAAAGGTACATTTCATAAAACTGTTCTACCATGGAAAACAAATAGCTTATATATAGCATTACAGCTTCAATTCAGATATGATTTATGATCAGTTTGGGAAAACATATTGTAAACTTTAAACCAGCACTATGAGAGAAATATTGTTGTTAAAAACTAATCTTAAAAACTATTTCTGCCATTTTAAAATCAATGAGTTTGTTTCTGCTTGGATTAAAAAATATATATATATTTTAGAGAAAGCAAAAAAATAAATTGTTTGTGTAAAAAGAAAAGTCTTTTTCAGTCACACTATGGCCATGACCTACTACAGGTTTGCATGTGTAAAAATACCACCAAGCTTGATAGCAAGTATGCAAACTTCTTCTACAACGGGTGCACATGGGGTTTTTGACTCTAAAATCAAATTATACAGCCTGTTTGCCTTTAGAAATATGTAGAACATATGCTAATCATCAGAACATAAAAAATACTGGGGGGAGGACATGCAAATCTAACTACTCGTCATCAGCAAGTAAAATGTATCAAACCTGAAATGGATTGTGGTGTAGTCTCTGCATCTATTTTTAGTGCATGTAAATTTCAGGCAAGCTCAAACAAAAAAAAAAAAAAAAAAAAAAGTGGTTATTATTGTGAGACGGAAGCACAGGCTTAATAAACAACAGGAGAATGAGTGATATGCTACTAAAAATAGCAGGTACTGTACATATTAACTATAGAGTAATTTATTATTGGGAATAGCTCATTGCAACAGTTTTTTCCACCTTTCCAGCACACCTTTGAAGACAGTGAAATAGCCCAGACTAGTGTTTCAGGCGTGCTGTCCAGCGCCGCAGGTTGAATTTTAAAAGTGGGGGCACATGTTACGCTCATCAGTGGGTATTTTAATCACAAACATTAGGTCAAGTGGAAAAGGAGCTTGCAACACATATCTGTTTATAAAACTAGATAACTAAAGTAAAAAAAACAAAACTGCAGCACTCGTGAATATGAAGGTGATTTTTTCCCCCCATAGGAGAATGGAGATATCTCTGCGTTAACTAGAAGTTAAATCCTATATAATATTATGAAATAAATAGCTTTTCTCTGCCTTATGGCGCTGGTTCTGAAAAAGGACAACCAGCAGCTACAACTTTCACCTTTCTTCTTATTTAAGTTATGCATTAAAATTATGATCACTGTTAAAAAAAAAAATTGCAGAAATTATGCTGGTAAACCAAATCATTTCTTTTCCTCTTAAAAAGTAAACACTGTAATACTACAACATATTCTGTGTCTGAGAAGAATATGTGAGACATTTCTGACTGACTGCTTTCAGAAAATAAAACAGTTATTTTAACAATTGAATGACTGTAATATGAGCCCTGTAAACTCTGAGTGACTGAGTGGAAAGTGCTTTTATGATGGGAATGAAGAGATGCTTGCATTTATTATTCTTTATATATATGATGAAATTTTGAAAGTATAACATCAACCTGTCCACGGACTGCTGGTGGAAATTTGCTATAACATGGCACATGACAGCTGTTGTAAACTGCAGCTACCCTTAAGAGGAACAAAATAAATCATACCTGAAAAGTCAAATTAAGTTATATTTTCTGGGAACTTAGCCGATTGCTTTCACAATGAAAAACGACTGAGAAACACATCTTCACTCTTAGGCAAATAGAGTTTCTTGTAAACTCCAGGTATATTGTGAAATACCTACAATGAGCCAGAGGGAACTGATCATACCTGTAGACGAGCTTGTAAAGCCTGAACTTTGGCATATTGTTGACTGTGATGTACTTTCTCCGTGGTGGAGCAGGTTTGAAGTAAAGGAAGGTCGGCCCTGCAGGGCAGAGAAGAGGGCCTCATCAAGGCTGGCTGAGAGAAGCTGCTCGTGGGAACTGACGTTAAGCTCTAAAAACAACCACATAAAAACAGGGAGAATTTGTTGGTATGCATAATGTGCACAGTTTACAACTCTGTGAACCGTGAATGAAAAATGAAAAAAACATGCACATATGTGACATATCCATGTATTCGAATACAACTCCAGATAGAGGTGGGATGTAATATGCTAATATGTTAGACCAAATTATCTTAAAATAGTAACTGTAATAATCATCATTTTATGCTCTAATACAATTAATTAAGAGTGTTTTTAATTGTAGAACTCATGCATTATGCAAGCTAAACATGTCAATAGAAAAACAGGTCCATGATCAGTTCTATACAGTGGAGCTCTTCAGCATGCAGCAGCTAGGTGATGGTAATTCTGTAAGCTAAACGCCAAAAAAGAGACAGCGTAGGAGTCTCTTAAGATAACAGACAGAAGCAACAGACTGTGGGACATACTACGAAAAACACAAAGCATAAGCAGAGCTGACTGTTTGTTCAATGGAGCTGAAGATGAACAGAAATGAATGCTGTGGGAGATCAACAAAACCTGCAATATTCCTGGTAAATATGTTCTCCACGTTATTGTTGTTCTGCTATTGATTCATGGCAAATACGCACATGTAGCTTCTCAATGACTTCACTTTCTAAATCATTTTTCATAAGGCATTAAACAACAAGCCCCATCCAGCTTATTTGGAAGCATGGAGAGCTTAAAAGCAGGGTAATAAAATAATTAGCAAGTACAAGCAGATGTCTGCGAGAGTGGATAATGCCTATAAGCAAAACTGCAATAATCATAAATTAAGCTCTAGTTGACACTAAAAGTAAAAAAATTAAATTGTCATTAATAGTGTTCTCACCGTCCAAAGTAAAATAACAGAATATCTTTCAATGTCAGAAAATTGAAATGCTAACATAAAAATAAATACTGGGGTAATAATACAAGCAGATTATTGGTGTAGTTGTATAAAAAAGCTCAGGGCTGCTGTCATCAGTTAGGACTTTTTTAAATGGTTGGTGTGGGTTTAATACATGGTGCTAAATGTTTTTGTTTGGTACATTTAATAAATTATTCTCATCCTGATTTTTATCTTATCTTGAACGGTAAAATGAATGCTGATCTAAATGATTCAAAGCTTTTTGATACAAAGCCTAAAATAGTAAAATTAGTCACAAAGTTTGATGTTGCCCAACATTACAGTACATAATGGATACTTAAAAAAAAAAAACATTAGATAATGATGGAACATCATGCATGTGAGATTTGCTAAAGAGCATTAGTGAAAATATACTAACAACATACTATATTCCTCTACATTCTATGGATTTATGCAATACTTGAAAAATGTCCACAAATGTTGAGTTTTCACTCTACTATGACTACAGATAAAGGCGTTAGAAGAGTCAATGACCAATAATCCTGCAGGTTTGACACGTGTTATTGTGGGAGCAGCCATACTGGATCCTGAACTGACATTTTAAGTCAAACTTTGTAAACTGGTAGGCATTTCATAAAGTAACTTCCCCCTCTGAACTGAACAAGGAAACATCTGACTCCACACATTCACAAAGGTGCGTGATGTTGTTTACATTTAGGTAAAGATTCAACTTTAACAACAGAGCCTTAGACATTAAATACTCACCTATACCTGAATTATTTCTTATATTTTTGCTTTGGGGAAGCAGTTGTTTTTCAGTTGTTGAATCTCCTGATGAAATTTCACTCCGATCTCGTTTCTTTGCTCTTTTTAACAAAGAATTATTATCCTTTGAAAGTATGTGTGTGTTGGGTTTTTCATCTCTGTTAGTAGATGATGGTCCTGAGTCAGTATTTGCCATCTCAGCAGAGGTCTGACTAGTACCTCCTATTTTAGTTGTGAATTGAGTAGAGTTAGTGTTCACTGGGGCCTTAATAAAACCAGGAGAACTCTGTGAATGTCTCTGACCATTGGAAGTTACAAGCCTCGAAGCCTGTGGATTCTGCCCCTTGTCCTGTCCTCCCAGCGCCCCCTCCCTTCCTACAACCCCTTTCTCCAGGAGGAAGCGGTCGATTCGGCTTTTGAGTTCAGGGTTTGGCAAGGGCTGGCAGGTGGAGGAGAACGGGACACCGGTGAAGGGGTCGTTTGGCTGCCGACCCCAAGTAGCCTCCCTCTTCTGGTATTCTTCCAGTGTTGAAGTATCTACTGACATCCCGCTAGGAAGCAGCATAGGAAGCATCATTACTTCCTGTGTTAGTGGATCCAGGAATTCATCTGGGATGGAAATACTGCCAGAGCTAAAAAAAAAAAAGCAGATATAAATCAAATTTTTCTGCTCCCAATCTAACCCAGAGTAAAACCCAATATCCTCATGAACTGAAAATCAAACATTACTTCAAATGCTCTCTACCTAAGGTTGCCCTGGAGTGTTTGTCTGGTTTGTCCGATAGGAGGAGCAAAGAACGCAGGAGGCTCCACCCGTCTTTCATTAGCCTTGTGGGTTCTTTCAATCCTCTCCACTTCTTCCGTGGGGCAGCAGCGAGCAGGTTGCCCCCACACAGCCAGCGCCTTCAGCCCAAGGGAAGATGCTGCACCGCTGAACGGCACAGCGACACGAAGCTGCGTCACGGCACCCAGCGACGGCAGCCCCCGACTCCAGAGCTTCTCCTGCCGACAAGCTGCCGACTGTAGAGGAGCGGGGGAGAGGAATGGAGCTCGGGCGCGAAAGTTCGAGTGGCTGAATGAAACTAGCGTTTCCTCTCGGAGCTCACATCGAGCAACCAGCTTGAACTCTGATTCAGAACAGCTGGATTCAGAGTTCAACTGAGATTGGAAGTCTGTGTGCTGAGGCCTGTCTTGAGCTTCTGTCCCCCACTGCTGGGCCTGAACACTCCATTGATGGCCATTACTAATGACATGTCGATGCTTCTGCCTGTTAGTTATGTTCTGCTCCTTCTTTTGCCTTTTACTCTGGTCCTGTCGATGAACGGGCACACGACTTGACAGAGTTGGTGTATCTGAACTTGTGCTGATCTCCAATCTCCTGCAGGCTTGGCCCCTGTCCATTCCCAAGGGCCATAGCTCCACATCGACGCGGCAAAGCTCCACGGGGAAGCCAAACTTCAATGTCACCTTAAACCAAGGAATGTAAAAAATAGAAACAGACAAACAGGTAGAATAAATATTAAACACTTTTTCAATTACATGTTTACATATTCCTATGGTGCAATTCACATAAAATTTTCTCCCGGTGTATAAACCAAAGTAAAACATACGTAAAGAGAAACAACAGACGAGAAATGACACATGAAAAAGTATTAAACAGATTGATGCGTAATAATTTGTACAAAAGGCTTTGTTGGTGATGAGAGCTCCAAGATGCCTCCTCTATAAAGAAATTAGTTGCACGTGTGTTCAGTGTGATTTTGGCCCATTCTTCCAACTTGTGACCCTTCACCGCCTTTCACCAGAAGTTAGATTTGTGTTACATAGAAATATTGACCTTACATTAACAAAGGAGCTGGAAGGGAATGATGAAACGTTTTATTCTTTACTGCCTGAGCAAGCACTGTTACCAGTTTTAATGACTGTACAGAATTTTTTTTCTTAATTTGTAAA